ATTTCTAAAGTTAAAACTGGAAACAAATAATTTGTGATTAGCTCTAATTTTAACAGCCGTAAATAATTAATGTTAAAATATAAAAAATAAAATAAAATATGCGATTTTCTTTCCTCCCTGCTAAATAATTTTATATTTTTGATATTACTTTTTTCTTACAGAGATGCGATATATAAAAATAAATATTACGATAAAATAATAATCTCTCCATCAAATAAAGTTCTTTTTTACGAACAAGTCCGGCATACAATAAAAGCGCGTTTTAATATCGTCGCTTTCGCAAAGTTTCGGTGAGTATACTTGAAATATTTATACATTGTTACTAAAAAAAAAAAAAAAGCGAACGCAGTGTAACTGGCTAATAATTCACTCTGGACTTTCTCTCGCGCGCGATAAATTCGTTAACGTACACAACGCGACGCGTCGCAACGTATTAACTTCGCCGAGCTTTTTTGAAAGCTATACGTATAATGCTGTACATTTCATTGGATGTGCATCGATAGTGCAACTAACGAGCCTCGGATTTTTACATTGACCATAAAAATTTGAAAGAAATTTTATCTCCGTATCTTAAAAAAAAAACGTAAAAATATTTCAAACAAACATGCATCACCGTGTGCAAATCAAATGAACATTTATGACAATGTGTCATAAATTATGCGGTCGATCATTGTGAATTCGTTATTATAAAAGATAAAACTTAATGAAGAAGATAGTATCTAAAACGCCTGATTAAAATATTAATTTATTCGCAAAATTTAATTACTGATATTCCTCCACTGAGACTGTTTATAGAAGCCTGCAGTATTTCCATTATCGATTCAATAATTTGTGATTCTTTTTCATGGTACGTATGAAAAAAAAAACTTAAAAGTATAGGCGAATGCGCAAAAGAAATAAATAAAAATACAGAAACTTTAATAGGATGTTAATAAAAACAGTAATAAAACAAATATTGTAATACACAGAAAGAAATTTCGCTGAAGTATCTAAAATTTTAGCTAGATTTGAAAGTAAGACTGTATTAGACTATCAAAATAGGACTGGAATATCAAAGCTTTCACAGAATTCTTTGAATTTCCTACATATTTATTTTCATGATTCGACAAAATTATTTTTAAATTTTCATCTATCAAAATTTTTAGATACTCCACACGGAGAAAACAATTTTACTTAAGTATCTAAAAAAGCTAGATATAACATATCTAAAAATTTAGTCAGATATAGGTCTGAAAATAATTTTATTAGACCATCAAAATAATTATGTAGGAATTTCAGACAACAGTTGCAAAAAAATTTAACATTCCAGCAGTTTGAGCATTCTACATAATTACTTTGATGGTCCGACAAATTATTTTCAGACTTATATATAGCTAAACTTTCAAATACTTCAACAAAACCGTCCTTTTTATGCAGAAAAATCGTTTTCTCTTTTTGTGTAGAAATAGTATAAAGGGTAGTATAGTATTGGTTTAAAGTTATCATTAGAATATTTATAGAATTCGAGTGTTAAGGGATATGAATGCTATAAGGCTGCCACCCTACTGCCACCGTCACTTCTCATTATCTATGCATAGGGAGTGATGTCACTGGATAGATTAATATATGAACAGCGTGATTCCATCATGTGTACCCGATGGTGTTGATAGCGATAAATTCAGTGGCACGCGTGCCGACAAATTTCCGATCGGAGGGGACCAGTATACTCATCCCTGGACCAGAGAAAAGTCACCCTGTTTAATTTCGCGCGTCAACGTTGACGCGCGGCGACACGTATCGCGGATCCGCGCACCACCGGCTATGAATCCCAGGGCATGAATAATACGCGCATCGCGGGCTAGAATAATTTCACGTTGAATTCAAATCCAGGATCGATGAGGCCTACTCCCGCTGACGATCTAACCCAGTTTCGCCTACGAGGCGTGTACGGGCCACGTCTCTCGCTCTATGGCGTAAAGCCGCGGCGGCGAGTCGATAAAAACGCAATTTTGCGCTATTCGTTAGCGTGCTACCCCTAGCTCGCGAGCAGAGCGCAACGGTGACGTGGAGAAGTCTGAACGAATTGTACCAAGTCCACGTAAACACCCGTTCATTCGCGATTCGAAGGTGAGCGAGCCAACTCCGCCGTTTGACCGTAGCGTTTATCGCCGCGCGATTTCCTTCATTTGTGGTCATTGAGTAATATTACATAACTGCAGGGTATTACATGTATTTCTTGACGTGACTTATTAATGTACATTTCGTCATCACAGACATACATTTACAGATTGATTTTTGCATAAATGTCTAAACATTTAATTAAATAACAATCATGTTAGGTACATATTTAGTCAGATACTGAAAATGATTTTGCTGTGTTATCAAAATAATTATGTAGGACGCTCAAGCTGATTGCTAAAATGTCAAAACTTTGCACAGTATGACTTATCATACTTGAGATTCCCTCCTGTATATATAATAATTTTAATGACTCAACAAAATTATTTCCATATCTGTATTCATAAAGAACTGTTTTGCTGAAATATCTAAATTTAGCGAGATTCAAATTGAAAATAATTTTGTTGTGCCAAATTAATGATGTAGAACGCTCAAACTAAGTTACTAAAATTTCAAAACTTTCTGCAGCGCTGCTTATCATGCTTAAGATTCCTATGTAATTATTTTGACGCTCTAATAAAGTTATTTTCAGATCTCTATATGGAAAGAATGATTATGCTGAAGTATCTAAATTATTATATTTAGCTGCATACAAATCTGAAAATAACTTTGTTCGATCATCAAAATAATACGTAGGACACTCAAATTAATTGCTCAAGTGTTAAAACTTTTTGAACTCTTACTTATTATATTTGAAATTTCTATGTGATTATTCTGATGGCCTAATAAATTTATTTCTAGATCTGTAACTAAACGGAAAGAACGGTTTTGCTAAAGTAAGTATCTAAAAATTTAGATGTAAATTAGAAAATAATTTTTTCGAACCCTCAAAATAATTATATAGAAAACTCAAATTAGTCGCTAAAATGTCAAAACTGTTTGCTCATCACATTTGAGATTTCTTTGTAATTATTTTGATAATCCAACAATACTATTTTCAAATCTAAATCTAAATATATTATATACTTGAAACTTTAGCAAAACGTCTCTTTCCGTAATGTGTATCTTGCGACTGTCGGCTTTCGCCGAATAATTCGCATCTGTTCTCCGCATCACGTTTACGCATTGCCGTGGGAGGAAAAACGTAAACCGAGAGTGCCCCGCGAGTAAACGTAAAATGATACCGGTGAGCCAATACGACGTGCACCATGACGCTTCTCACAGAAGACGGACGCGCACCACGTGAGCTATCACAGAATGACGTAGGCTTTGTTCCATTGTTCACTCACCTCCTCGTGCGTAACAACCCCCGCACGAAGTTGCCCCTTTACGAGGGCGCGCGGTTGATTAACGAGAGCATCGCGTGAAAGTGCGCCGCGAACGCGAACGCGGCGAAGGTTCGCATGTCACCTCGGAAGAAACGTGATTCCGACACGCGTACTCTTCTCTCCCTTTCCCTCCCTTCCTCTTTCCTTTTATCCCTCCGCGAACGCAAATTAATCGAGGGGGGTGGCAATCAGCATTCGACGGACGGAGAACTCGGCGAAGCTGCAATTTCGGCGTGGCGCGGAAACGTGGCGCACGCGGGGAACGCACTGCGAAAATCGCGAGAAACTCCAAGGGAGGGGGGTGGAGGGGGGAAGAGGGGAGGGGAATGAAAAAACTAGGAGGTGCACCCTCGCATGCGGCGACACCACACTCGGCGCGTAACTAGGACGGGCGGGCGAGCGGATACGCGTGATTAGGCGCGTGGGTGCGTGCAAGGTGCGTGTCCGCCGCGTGATAAGAGCGCGTATAGGTGAGCCGCTCCGCGACCTTCGGTCGACGAAGGTTCGTCGAAGACTGGTCGGTCACAGGGTGGGAGGGCTCTTTTTCAAAGGCAGCGTTTTCTCGACGACGACGGCGGCGGCGTCGACGGCGGTGGTGGCGAAGCTTCCGGATGGAGGGTAACGGGCATGCGTGTGACGAATAGCACGATCGGCACCGCACGACCGTGCACAAGGGTGTGCCGGAGAGAAATGCGCGATTCGGAAATGATAGCCCGCGGTTGCTCGTTCGCTTTGAACGCGTTGTGCGCGACGACTCGCGTGTTTCCCTCATCCCCGAGTACGCGGTTTACGACGGCGATGTAGATTAGGCTGCCCGTGGAGCTTTGATTCTCTCTCTGCTCTCTCTCCTTCACTTTCTCATTTTCTCTCCCCAGGAACAATCAAGGAATCGCGTTTCGCTCTCGCCGAGCTAAAAGGGGATCGTGTTTCTCCGTTGGGTTCATGCATTAACAGCGAATTTCCGAGATTTGCAAACTTGATAACGGCACGTTATAACGACAAAAAGTAATTGATACGACCTGACTTTTTGCTGAAATAAAGCTTGAATGAACGTTGAGAAGCTCTTAAGGGTATAGCATAATAATTCATGAAAATATTTTTGACTTAAAAAAAAAAAAAGAGTATATTTCTCGAGTTCTACTCAGAAATGCCGGTTCAACCGCACTGCGGTAAAGCGAAGTTATTGGATCACCTGATATTGCGCCCACTCACGGATCACTCCTATTTCCCACTTCAAGCCTGCTATCGCAAAATGCAAAATCTTTTTACTGACAACTATCAAATGCTTTTTGACATTTTGAGGGATTTGCTATCTGATTACCTTGCTAAAAACATATATATATATATATATACTCAACTTAAAAGTTTTTACCCAAATTCCTAACGCCACTAAAGCGAAAATGTTTATCAAACTTCCAATTGTCGAGTCTTTTGATAAGAAAGAAACATATAGCTGCTATTATATCAAAATAGCGATATTTATTATATATAAAGTTATTAAAATTTGCAGGCCCATCTATTTTGAAAGCATGCAGCAAAAAACGTTGAGAAAAATAAAAGACTAGGTCGACTTACCAGCCTGCGATGCCGTTTGGTTGTATCTCTTGTAAGAATATGCCAACCTCGTTCTTATCCTTGCTCCGAAGTCCGACTACGCTGAATCCCAAACTAGTTCCTTCCGGTTTATATAACTAGAAAGACATAAAATCATCTTCATTAGCGAGATATTTTTAATATAATTTTATTTTGATTTTTTCTCCACTCTTTACTTAAAAAATAAACATGATAAATGCTTTAATGATATATAAAGAGTCACTTTTGAAAATATTCTACAAAAAAGTTTCATGTCTTATAAAAAATTTACCTGGACTGTAAATATTTGTCGTCCTTTCGCCGCAGCTTCGATGACTTTTTTAAACTCCTTCGCATAAGTAGGTGTTGTTATAGGCGGCATTCCCATAACTTCCGAAACAAGACTGGGACTAGTAACCTGTAACAAAGTAACGACAAGTCTTGTAATAGATGCATAAAAGTACATGATTGATCCTTACAAAATATAACAATGATGTGATAATACCTGCGCGCTCGTGTCCTCGCTGCTACTGTGCAGTAACGGAGCGACAGGAACTCTCTGATCTTCCAGCTCGCTACTGTCTTGATACAAATCTTGATACATGTTCGGTCCGAGAGGTTGCACCGGTGTAGTCGGAACGGAAAGCTCCAGCTGTCCACTGATGTTAATGTCAAAGTCACCGGGCAAAATAGATGGATGATGCGTCAGTTGTGTATTTAGTTCAATCAAGGAGTCTTGAATCGTGACTATGCTCCGAAATACTGGATCCTCTAACAACGAAATTAATGATTTCAAATCCTGCGACGTGTGCATCTGCAATTTAGGATCGTCGCAATCTTCCACCCGTTCCTGCACGTGTTCCAGCAGATGAAGCGCCGTAGATATATCTGCAACAAATAACAAGACATTAACTTAGAAGTAATAGGTTGATAGAATGGCGCAAGTTATATTTATTAAAGCTTTCTAGAAAATGGGATAATTTTGGCTTAGTCGGAACTTGATATTTTCTAAATTCTTTAGAATAGAATCTCAATCTAAAAAGTAAAAATTGAGCCAGCCTTAAAAGAGAACAGTTCAATTTAAAATTTTTAAGGCTTTACTCTTTAGAGTGAGATTTACTTTAAAAGTTTTAGAGAATAACTTAATTTTCAAAAATGTTTAATCAACAGATGTTTAAAATTAAGATTTCTTAAAATATCTTTAAGACCTGTCTTATATCCTAATTTTGACATGCATGCTGTCTAAGCATTACCAAAATTTGGATCAAAAAGTTATCTCGATTTTAATCCAAAATTACTCCCATTTTACAATATACAAGATAATCAAAATAAAATTACAAATAATTCTACTGATATTTACCTGCACTGAGCGGCATGATGACTTCCTTTGTTCTCTAATCAGTACTCAAATTTATACAAGTTCTTCGCGTACCCAACTAAAACATGAAAAAGATAATATTTCATGGATGTATGTATATTGAAATTCGTTGAGAGTAAATGCGTCGCACAGACATCATTTTCTCTTAACCTCAAAATACAGTAGGACACTACGGACGTTCGCAAATCGAGAATAATACGTTCCTCGAGAAGCACCTCGATAAACGATTAATTGTCATTAAGCGTAACATCGCCGTAAGCACATCGCGAATCAATATGCGGCGCCGGAGCAGAGCCGCGGGATCATCCTCGAGAATTTCAGGTACAGTACTCACCTCGATTGACGGGTCGCGCGAGGAGAACGCGCGTTTTTTTCCGCGAATGCGATCCTTACAGTCTCACGCGATAACGGAGCGATCGCATTACAGTCCACGAGCGACGGCCGATTGCATCCTGGCGTCAGCTGACTTCACCAAACTATATATCGCGTTATCGAGCTCTTGCCTCACGTATCACACGCACAGAGAGTGTCCGGAACGGGCACGCATTCCGAGCACTCGGCGATCACGTGACCCGGCGCCATTTTCAAACGCTCGAACGCGAACTCGGTTCCAGTAATCTCAGTTTCAAACCTAATCTCCTGTATTTATAGTCAGTTTTTATTCTAAGATTGTCTTAAATAATGTTTTAAGATGCTAATATGGCTCTGTGATTAGCTTACATCTGAAAGTGACTGTATTTAGGACAATCTTAAATGTAAAAACCAGCAATGAATAAATCATAGAGCTCATTTTATATGATTTATAATTCGTATTAGATTTCGAAATAAATTATTATTGATTATTATTATTTTAAATGGTAGAATAACGTTAATTTTGATAAAAGTATCATTGTTTCTTATTCACTAAAAGAAGAAAGCGAATAAATTACTATAAAAATAAAGAAATTGATTTAAAAAACTAAATATTTCAGTATAAATGAATGACATAATTATTAAAAAGTAAAAAAATTTCAGAACCCAATTTTTTTATAAAAGAAATAATAATCTAAAAAATAAAAGCCGTCAATAAAGATCACGCGTTCGGTACTTCTAGTGATAAAAAACATAGTGATGATTACTTTCGTCTATTAGAGTATTTAAATGTCATTTTATCATCATTTTGTTTCCCATTAAGCAAAACAAAAAATAATAACATCAAAATAGTGTCAAAATAACTCCAAAATAATTAAAAATCACTTTTTGATGAGTCAGATTTATTTTAATTATTATTTTGATATTATCATGACCTATTATTCCACTTGAATATTTGGAATTATCAGTAATATTAATAATTATTATTATTGGGATTATGAGAATTAATAATTATTATTGTTGTTATTCATCGTTATTGAATGTAATTAAACCAGGAAATAGAACCATACGCTTTTATATGCTTTTGTGTGCTTTTGACGCATATAATATATTTTCATATATTTTTTACAGTGCATATTATCTTCAAGTATTTCTCGTATTACACGGTACGTTATAAATAAAATTAAAATTAAAGTTATAAATAAAATTCTATCTCAAATTCTAAGACAAAATGAAGTAGGCCTTCAAAATATCTTTAAATTCTGCATTTTTATTTGTTGTTTATATCTGTAAATATAATGTCAATTAAGCGAAAAACATACATGCGACTATTGTGACAATGTTAACCAAAACTGCTTTACGTGTTTATTTCATTAATTTATATAACACACTTTACGTTTGTGTATTCTGATGTTACAAATATATTACGATATCATTATACTCGTAATATAATTGAGCTGTAAACAATATAAAATTATAACAATTACAAACGCATGAGAATTCCCTGGAAAATAGCGCCCTCCATAAATGTGCATTAATTATAAAATAATTAATCCTGCGAAAATAATTAATTTTTGAGAAAATAAATTTTAAATAATGAGAATCTTGTTGGACCGTTTACGTGAATAAATTTCATTCTCTCAGCTGTACACAATAAAAAAGATAAGCTATTTAATATGAAATTTAAAGAAAAAAAAAGAGGTAAATCAACTTTCGTATAATTAAAGTTTAAAAGTATTTAATGTAAAAAAAATTACATCCAAAAAAATGCTTTTTTTATCAATAAGGATCCTTTTTTATAAAACGGTTCTTACATTTCTTATTAAATATAAAAGCACAGAATTCATTTCAAAATTCTTTATTCATAATATATATATCTGAGCAATTTTTTAATTATACTTGTTTGATCTTTTTCAGCCGTGAAGTTTCGTATTTGTGACAAAGCTGTATTGTCACGCTTCTGAAAGCTTTCTCTTTTATATCAGTCTTTATACTTACAAAGAACCAGTCATTTTATGAAGAAAACAAGTCTTGTCTAGATCAGGTAAATAAATGTTGCTAAATAAGTGTTGCTATTATTATATAAAAGATTATCAAGAAAAAAACATGTTATCAAGCATTCCATGAGAGAAATTTATTATATTCTTTTATCTTTCCACTTCCTCCAATATTTCAGACTCCGTAGAAGCGTCGTTATTTGCTGTCTCAAGAGAAAGAGATATCTCTTAAGTATAATGCTCTTTGTGGAAACGCAAGAAAGGACATGCCACGAAAAAAGAAAGGAAAAAGACCTCATGATCATTATTAGCACCATAATTTATAAGGGACTGACGTATACTGTTATTACTGAATTTAATTTTCTATCTCATATGTATTAATTTATTATAAGATATTCATTTCATACGCATATTTCTATTATAATTAACTATCATAGATAGCGTACAATTTTTGTGTATTTCAAAAAAGACAAGATTTCTATTTTTGCAAAATTGTTTAAGTACTTGTTTAATGTATGTAATATTATAACTTTTGATTTTCTCTCGTAATAACAATATCATAAATCACGAATATATTTAAATAAATAAATACTCAGTAAATCTGAAAATAATTCAAACAATTAGAACAGCCATTAAAAAGTCTAACTTCGCATTATACTCGATTTTTTTTTAAATTATTCTTAAATTCTTTCATCAACACGTCCGATTGAGAATTGTACCTTTCGAAATTGGGACGTACATTCTAAATGAGACTGAAAATAAAAGTAAAATAATTAAAATCACGGAACAATGTATTACACGATACCTTTGTACGAAGAAAATAATTCTCGAGGCATCTAACATGGCGAACAAAAGGTTACGGATCCCTGTATACTGAGATGGCTCACCCCGCGCTTTATCCAGTCGATCGTTGACCGGCTCGTTGATTCCCGATGATGACGGTGCGATCTCGTCCTGGTTGACCTCGACTGGGAATCTCTAATCCATGATTCCGCCGCGAGTCGGCCTCGATGACGAGAACCTACGCCGCTGGGTACGACGTTCCGCAGCTCTCGTGAGCCCCCCCGCGCGGACATGACGCGTCGCCCGTTTTCCCGGATGGCCTCACGGAAACCGGACACACAATGGGTCCACTTCCGCTGCGTGCAAGGCCAGAGAAGTCGGACGTGGGGACCCCACCTGTCCGCCCCCGCGCGCGTTATCCATGCGTCGTGCTCTATGGGCCCCCTATGGTCTATCGTGCGGTTGTAACGCGGGGATTCTCTCATCAGGAACGCACGATTTGCTCTTTCGCCGTTCTCTCTCCACTTCCCAGGTGTACAGGTGTCCATTATTTCCATGCTTCCCGCTGATTTCGACCGTCAGTTTGATTACAGGTGCCATTCGCGCCGCACGCGTGATTTCGGCGTACGCTCGCACGCCTCTTTCTCGCGCGCGATCCATAAGATCACTTTTGGGATCGCGTTGGGATAGCGCTGGCACATCGCGAGATCCGCAACGCTTCCCTTCGTCCTCCTTCACGGCAATTGTAATTACGCCAAAGGGAACGGAGAGCTCGCGACGAAGAACTAGGGAGAGCTGTCCCTCCTGGGTAAGATTAGCTTTCTTTCCCTTCATCGGCGATTCTTTTTTACACCATTGACAATCTTTTTACTTTTTTAATGTCAAACGAAATGTTAAATCAGTACAAAGTAAGTAGTTTACCACTCAACAATATAATGTAACATGTGTATTCTATTTTTGAAAAGGAAATTACAACTAAGAGGTACGTTACGTGTAACTTTGCGTATGTTGGGAAAAGTCA